CAGCCACCTGATCAACAACCAATAAGAATAACTGTGGTGTGTGTATGTTTCTTCGTCCGAAAGCTCTAATCGACAAAACTGAAAGGTCACCTCTTCGAACTGCTCAATCGCGATGCACCATTCGACTGAAAAGCGTCAGTTCACATTGCCGAACGAATATGTGTATATCGTTCATTTCGTTCAGCTGTAGCACCCCTTCGGTGCCTAGCTGCCATGTCACCCAAAGGAAGCACGAGGGCTGGGATACTGCCAGGTTGCCCAAGCCTAGACAGGGGAAGTCGAGAGGCAGAGGTCGGGTTCGAACCGCGGACCTTCCGGTCAGTAAATTCGCGCTCTAACCACTTGGCCCATCTCGCCCCGTATGAGTAGATCAGCCGACTATTTGGGATAAAATCCACTAATTTGACAAGAAAACGCCAGTCATTTTCACCTCATATATCACAATGATCGTTGTGTATTTTTACGCCTAAACACGTCGGACACTGAACTGAAGTGCTGTTTCAAAATCACAGGCGTGTACTGGTAGCTTGACGAGGGTTCGTGCACATACGAGCATCGTTAAAAGAGTAATTACGAAAATGTCCGTTCATTTCTAATTAGACAGGTTGTCCTACAACTGGGCAAAGCAGGACCATCTGTGCTTCTCTTCATTTGGAGTATTTGTGAAGTGGATGGTGGCTTCATGTTCCCTCCCTCAAAAAAAGCCGGACTGTTAGTCTGGAATGTCAAATCGCCCATCTGAGACACCAGTCCATATAATCAGGTTGACTGGTTGACAGATAGATTGTTCCAACAGGCTTTGGTAAGCAGTTGAACGTGGACCGGAAAATCCGACTATACAGTGAAGTTAAAAAGTAAACCATCTCTAGTGCAAACCACCAATAACAACCAGAAACCATGTTTCGTTCTGATTCAGCTGGCTTCTCCCAATTTAGCGCAATGAGTCGTAAATTAAGAAAAATCCGGAAAGATAGAACAAATATCCCCCATTCCAAAAAGAAACAGAACTGCGGAAGTTTCGGATGGAAACATCCGATTTAATATTCGACAGAGCTGACGCTGAGATGCAATTTATAGACTGACTACAAGGAACAAGGTTTGGACAAAGGGTAACTATGAACATTGGCCTACGCTAGTAGGTCGGTTCTCATAGACAACTAAAATAAACAGTTCAAAAATCAGTGGGAGTGATTTGGTCAAAAGTAACAAAAATAAATTACACAATGCCGCAATCGGTGCTGTCATGGAAAACAAGGAGCACACATTCTACTGATGCACAGGATGCGACCGGAGGCGATCAATGAATTGATTGGGGTGCATCTTGTGATGACAAAGGAGATGTACGGCCGTGAATAACGGGTACTGTGCCACACGTTTCCGCTGTTGTAGGATCTTGTTTATCTGTTGGGAGGAGTACAGGTGAAAATAACAAATTTACGACTGACACAAAAGATGCCAAATGAGCCAGTAAGGCGCATCCTGAACAGATGAAGTTCAAAAAGGACGTCAACAAAAACTAACTTGCTGTGCGAGAATTCGTTCGGACTTCTGTAAAATAAGCTGTGTCTTGTTTACAACTTCATTTTGTAAGGCGATGAGTGAATGATCGGATCAGAATGCGAGTTCTAAATACAATGTTGAATATGTTTCTCTGAGAACGTCAAATATGTTTGTAATGTACTGCTCATAAGGTTGCTGAAAATCCGCCGACAGCCCACGACCGGTTTCGCCCTTTTTGGGGCTCATCAGGTAGGCGCAGTCCCCAGGTTTCCGTCAACCTTATGTTCTACTTGAAAAAAATTGCACGAAATTAGCGAATACACACTCATTTGCAAACTAATTTGGTTTTTCGAATATCGTAGCGACTGAAACATGAGGCGGCCTGGTGAAGCACGTTCAGTTGCCTGAGGACATCACAAACGAGAGATTCAACTGAGTTCCAGGTGAGTCTCTCGAAAAACCAAATTAGTCTGCAAATTGGTGTATATTCACTAACGTCAAATATTCTCATAGAATATTCGGAAGGCCACCCCTGACGCCCCCCGAATGTTTATGCTTTAGGAAACTGAGACTGAAGAATCCAGTGGGGAACTCCAGCATGAGCCGTCACGGTCATTCGAAACAGAACATTGAAGCTCGTTGCTAGGCTGATCAAGTCTATACAGTTTGATGCAGCCATGCAGTGCGTACTGAAGAGAAAGCACCAGATGAGGTCAACAATATAGAAGCGGACCAAACTACCCCCCTCTCACAAGAAAAAAATGTTGCTCTCTTCTGCTATTTTGACAGTGACTTAGTGCTACGTTTGCGTGCATGGCCATTCTCCACGGACAGTGCTATCAACAGCTAATGGGTTGGTGAAGGTGAGCTACACGTTCGTAGGGTTAGTCCGATTTACCAAACATGTTCACGGAATGCCTGGTGCGACTAAGTCACTATCAGGAAGGTCAGATTCCTGAAAGCAACTTCAGAACGCCCGGAACCCACTGCTCCACCAAAAACTCAACCGAAAAGCCGGCAAGCATCCAGGCCAGTCAATCATTCAATCAATTCAGCAAAACCTGATGAGGGTTTTTGCGCGCCACAGAAGTATGACCGAATGTGATCAGCGTTCAGGCTTTTCACAGAGGCACGATCGATGTTGATGGGTGTTCACTAACGCCTATCAGACAACCTGGATCAATGTCAGAAAGTCCCTTTTAAATAGCGTGGGGCCGTTGTAACTTTTGCTCTCGCACTCGCACGCACTCACGCTCTCGCACCCGCTTTGTTGGAATATAGCTATTGTGTTCTCTTCTGTGAGTCTTTTTTCTCCGGCATTAGGCACTGGAGCGGGTCAGCAGCAGATACCACAGATTGACGAATCAGCAGATATAACAGTCATGCCAAAGGTTCGACTTGAAATTACGCTTAATACATCCAACCCGCATTAGCGTGTGAGTTCCCAAAATGCGCTTTGCGTTTAGGCCATAAGACACCTAACCATTACAATACAAAGTAAAACAGACAAAAGTAAACAGACAGACGGACGGGAACGGAAGCCATATTCCCTGACCATCCTAACGGCAATTCGAGCTGAACCCGCGTAATTACTGAGCTTTGGATTTGAAGATGCTAATTATGAGGGCAGGATGTAGTTGATCCTGAAAAACAGCCCGCCATGTGTTACCCTCAGACTGTGACTCAACAGGATAAGGTTGTCGGATCGATCGCGTGTTCTTTCGGTTAACGGTTTTCGATATCTATCGTAGCACCCCGCTTCCACCATCCACACTAGCGCACATGGCGAAGATGAACCTTGGCTGTGATAGTAGATGACGGTTTTCAGCGAAAGGTGTAGGTCTGGCCGATTTTCTCCACCGCCTACAGATCGTTTATCCGATTCTGATTAGTGTCTACCCAAGTAAACAGTCGCACTTGCTTGGACCGTATACTGCTAGTATTAACGAAACAGGCTTGTGGTGTGCAACGCTTGGAACGTTGAAAGCAGACGATTTGGAGGGGAGGACACTCAGCATCACAGCGCTGCCTTGTGTTAGCGCTTGAAATAAGCGGGGGGATACACAACCAACCACTATCCAAGTGAGACTATGACCTCTTGAAATCGATGGGCTGATGAAGCTCTACTACTTATAGCCTCATACCGGACAAAGAACTAATTCTGCGTAACCCCCCTCCCCCGAACGATCATTAATGTATATGATTTTGAAAGGTGGCTGTCATTAGAATCGACTCTGCTAGTTTAACAGAGCTCTCGAGACTTTCACATTGATAGGGCCAGAGCAGAAATGGAACTACTTATACGGCAAAACTCACCTATAGCGACCATCCCACCATTTAGTGGCTGCTTTTGACCGATCGTTTCAGTAGCTACACTATTTGCTGTTTACAACAAAAATAAGCGCTAATACTATACATCGACAACTAGTTAGTTGCATAGCAACCACTCTGGGACGATCGTTGCAACTGGGTCCAGCAGCCATTGCTGTACTATTATGAATGTTGTGTCACCAAATTGAGTTGTCTGTTATATACTAACAGGCGCCACATTCTGATCCTCGTTTTTCGTGGTACAGGACGGTCAGTGCCGCGCTAGAGTCTACTCGGTCTAGTGTTCTTACTAGACGTGCGAAAACCGAACCGGATCACACTCTTGGTCAGCCAAATGCCTGCTTCTCGTCGTTCGACCGATTTTATTAGCTCCGAAGGAGCAAATAAACACATACAGTTGACTTTCTGGGTTAGCTAAACTTTAGTTATCTGTGAATATACACACATTTGCAAATTAATTTTGTTTTGCGAGAGACTCACATGGAACCCAACTGAATTTCTCGGTTCTGATGTTTCCAGGCAACTGAATATGCGGAGTCTCTCGAAAAACCAAATTGGTTTGCAAATGAGTGTATATTCGCTAACTTCGTGCAATTTGGTTGAACATAAGGTTGACGGAAACGCGGGGACTGCACCTACCTGATGAGCCCCAAGAAGGGCGAAACCGGTCGTGGGCTGTCGAGGAGTTTTCAGCAACTTTATGAATATTACATTACAAATATTCAATTATCTGTCTTAGCACGGGATAACTGGCAAAGATGATGCAAGTTGTCCGAGTAGCTCATCTGCCAAGTTTCTGTCAAATTGCAGGCGGAAATGCACTGAGTTTCGTTGTAATTCAGCAGCTAGTAGAAGATATATCGAATAGGTCATCCTAGCTCGGGTACCTGTCCACAAGAGACCAGCGGGAATAAATGCGATGAGCCATAATATGACATAAACATACCATATCCGCATATTCAGACCCATTGACACAAACGCTGCGTATTTTGGCATCCGACAGCGAACTATCTTCTACCGAATTGCGTCGGTCCATTGTTAGTTGACGTCCAAGCAACATATTCATCAGATCCATATCAGACCCCAAAGCCGGAGGACGATTCGATCGGTGAGACATACCTGACAAGGAAAGAAAGGTGAGAGGGTCAGTAGGTGTCCATATACCAATAAGGGTCATTCTGGAATAAACGTCGCAGGCTATCATATACTGGGGAACTTACCATCTAGTAAATAAAGCAGGTTTGACCTGAAATGTGCCAAGCCAAACAAGACAATTTGAATAAATGAGTAGGTCTGAACTCAGTGTGCTGACTGTGATTCCCAAAAGAACTGGACAGACGTTGGTATGCACCGCTTGCGTGTGTTTTCTGTCTCCATAACGTGAGCATGGGGGGCGTGCAAGCGAAACCAGTGATGACACCTGGCGCTTCGTAAAGCACGTCAGATTTTATGCGACCTATTTGGTCAATGGTATAACACCGTCGGGACCAGAATGAGAGATCTTTTCGTATCAAGTAAGATAACGAATGTCGGCACCGAATTCCTCAGTCAACTCGCAACAGAATACACAGCTGTGAAATTGTGTTGTGTACGTTGGAACGCACTGTGCAGGGGTTTCCAGTTATTCCTCAGGATAAGTGGAAGAAGGTAGCTCACCGCGTGTGATACTGTGGAAAAGCAGATTCGGACGGTCGGTGGGCTAGTTAGAGAGCAAACACAGATGGTGGTACGTTACCACAGTCCAATTCCAAGTGAGAAGGAAATGGGGTCCATTTCACCCAGGAAAGCAGAGCTCCGTATGTCCAGATATCGTTCTGGCATTTGGCTATCCATACCTGCTTGTACCGTCCCAAGCTGCTTTGCCTGTCTAAAACCAAGGCATAAAGTACGCAACTGTCCGAGGCGGTCTGTCTGTAGCACGTAACTTGGCTTCCGTGGTTTTCAACCGTTTTCTGAGAGGATACAGCTTAGATATCTTGAAATAAACGCTGCGCGGAGATCATGACCATAAAACGGGTCTTCGACAGGTAAGTTATCCTATCACTTCTTAGTTCCTCCTTGTGTCGTGTTACAGAAGGCTGAGACTGAGAAGACCGCATTTCCGGAACGTGAACAAAATCTATTGGAGGCGCTCGCGGGTGTAGTACTGCTTGAAGCCATTCTGTGGGATGAAAACATCCCACAAGTGGGTCCACCAAGCCAATCAGTCATTTCAGGGAGAGTTACCACGAAACTAAAACATTTCAACACGAATTTTCAATAAGACACCAGCAAGCAGTGAGTCAGCTCCAGGAGTGTCAACTGAATCTTCGCATGCGGAATTCGACAGACTGATCACGCATGTAATTAGTGGTCTTGAGCTTCCGAGGGTCAGACTTCGTGAGGCTGACTGTGACCTCATGAGCTGCTGAAATTTCGCGCGCTGGTCTAAAATTTATATGGAGTAAAATCCAATGAGTGCTGACCATAGATTCTCGTCTGCTCAAGGAGGCTGACTCCTGCGCTTCCCATAGGGTAACCTCTCCAATGGTGGCCTTTGAAAAGCTGATAGCGCTGTCCAGGTTTGGTGGGTTTCACAAAACCGTTTCCTCAATCAGGGTCCGAATGCTTCGTCGAAATTCCTAAGTTTCAAAAGAACCTTGTTTCAGGGGCTGCGTTCATCGAGAACTTACTCAAGAGCAACGAACCGCATCTTGGAACATTTCATTATCCTAGGTGACCAAGGAATAACTTGTAGCGAACCCCATGGAGTACTATATGGCAGTTCATCCATTAGTGCAACGTCCTCATTGTTGAGCTCAATTTCACTATTCACATGAAGGGTAAAGAGTGAGGTTACCTACGTCGTGAAGACATAGAAGGAGGAGTATATGGCAGTTTCCACACGAATGGTTTTATTGTCCTATAGCGCTCCCAAAGAATCCAGGATGTTGATACCGAGAAAAAACATTGTCCATAGGTTTAAATACAACACTTGAATCAGCAATGATGTAAGGCCCAAGAATCACTTCCAGCCAGTGAAGCACAGTGAACAACTTGTGACTACCCTCCAGGACATTGGGCGCTAGCAATGATCATTGTGTTTTCTTCGATTTGCCACTCGTACAAGACTTAGCATATTACCCTCGATTGTGTGATTAGTACTGGGTTTCGTTTTATTGTCCTCCAGGATATCATTCGCTTAAGTGTTCCGACAGAAGCTTTACTGAAGTGGTACTGTTTGGAACGAGCCACTATCAACCGCCTTGTGCTCTGCCCGGAAATTCTGTAAACTTTACACCTATTTAGTGGTCTATTTATATGTACTTCCTAAGTGTACCAGATTCACTTAGAACGCAAGTAAGTAAAAGTTCGGAGTTGGGAAGTAACATGGTTTTTAGTTGGAACGTTTTCGCGTATTCGGCAGTAATATCCGAGGCGAGTAACCGTGACTGCTTTGCTTCAATTTGGTAAAAGCAATATGGTCGATATCTTTCAGTGTCCTAAGCAATCGTATAATGCACAAATCCCTATCGAGTCGATCAGTTCTTGCTTGAGTTTCTCAACTTCCGTTCAGCTAGGAACATGCAAGTTGTCAGCGCACCCTTAAATGTATGACGAAATTCGAGTTGGTTTGAAAGTTGCCTGCTCTAGGAGTGCGAGAAGCTATTGGGACAAGTCCGAACTAGGTGCGACAGTCAGTTCATGTCGCGGCATATACAACGTCCCTCCTGGTTTGTTACCAAAAGGAAGCGATGCCGTACAATTCTCATTTAATTATGCAAGAATTTCGCTCCCGAATTCCATCATATATGCAGGATTTTTATCTTTAGTCCATCCAAGATATCTAACAGCCTATTCAAAATGTATTATTATTATTGTGTATCATTAGAATTTAGAGCCTTTTACCCGTATCTTCGTGGCGAACAGTTTGATGATTACAAATTGCGAAGGGAAACAATGATCTCCCAACGAGATCTCACGGTACTACCAAATCAGGGTACCATTTTCACCTTCTACTCCTTCGCCAAGAACGAAAACAGATACTTGTTATGGCATGAGAATCGACAGTATTTTCCCCGACAGCCATGCACAGAAAACTAAGAGCCTGAAACCAGAAACCTCAGTCAAAAAGGATGAACATTCTTGCATCATCCAACCAACTGTCTCGCGTAAAGCGAATACGGGTTGTGCACCTATCACGCGCCGTTATTTACTATACAACAAGTTGCAGAATACAGAGGTGAAATCAGCTATTGAAGTCGGTACGTGTTATTGCTGCCAAAATTGTTTACCGGTTGCGTGCGCAAACGTTAGATCCGCGAGTGTGCAAGGAGAGCGAAATACACAACAGCAACAGATCTAATCCGATTTTGATTAAACGAGACAAGCAAATAGTACAAACACTGAACTAGAAAAATAAGCAATAATAAATAGGGGTGTGAAAAATTAGTTTCCACGGCGTGAAGAAAATTGCTTTCTGGCTTGAGTTTGACACGGCAAACAACGCCCATCTGGTTAGCCAAACGAGGTCAAACGTGCACACAACTCGGTTGTGACAGTGTGAAACAGTTACAAACTGGTAGCGTCTCTCACCACCTAAAGAAATGGGCCCTGCAGGACGTAATTTAAAGCTGGAAATGTAGTGTACGTTAGTTAACGCATTTATCATGTTTATGGGTTTTCTAAAAGAACATCAGAAACCGACAAAATTTTGTGACTTTTCTTATAGCCTATCGATTTGCATTCGAATCGCACAAAAGTTCGAGTAATTAGAAAATACAGCAACACGGACTGTGTGTGTCACTCCACTCAGAGACCACTTGCGTTACACTTTGATGCAAGTCCTCAATGTGGACTGTACTTAGTCAGACCTAATTCCTGTATAAGTATGTAAGCCGTCAACACGAACTTCAGCAATCAAAAACTCCATTTGTTTGCTCGTCACAAACCACTCTGGGTAAGCTGGGATTACCGTGAACCTCGGTCAAAACCAAGCGGTTAGATCATACAAACCCTCCTTTATAAATTTCTCATTACCAAATGTTCTTCGGTGTCTCGAGAACGTGGTGCATGTTGTTTATTGAATACTGAAATCTACTGATGTTAAAATCACTTTCATAATTGTTTTCGAACATGGTGTGCGTGCATTCCCGGTGATAGCGCAAATTTTCCTTGTGACCCGCGGATTCCAGCAAACTCTGAATCACGTGTTTCATGCTTAGTCCTCTAGGGTTTTATTGACTTCGTATGCCAGATTTGCGCTCTGATAGTCCCCCCCAGACGACCGTACATACCTGTGCAGGTGAGTAGGAAGTTTTGCTCCATTTCGCCCTAAACGATTGACATTATTTTTCATGCGGCAAGGTAAAGCAAGGCTGCTTGCTTCTGTAGATAAGGCTATTCATAGCCTATTTCCACTGAAAACCAATGGGACAGTTTTCACTCACTCCGCTGAAATTTCGGGGCTGCCCAACTAGTACAGATAGGCGGCATCCTTGAAGTTAAAATTGGCCGCCCACAGGTGGGTCTTGCAGCACCACCGTCAGTTACCAGTGAGGGATCTCTGACATACACCTTGCGCTTGTTCGGTTGATCCGCAGTAATCAGTCTATTTGGTTGCTTACTGAACTGTGCTCGCTGTAGCTCTGTTGGTTTGTTCCAAAAGTCCATGTGTAGCTGATGTCAAACATGCTTTGTCTGTTAGGCATCATTTCGTATTTTCTTTGCTAGCTACAAGAATTTATGATAAATGATCTTCGAATAACGTGCAATTTTACTTAGCAAGCCTCCATGCCTCAGGTTGGTGGGGTAACTCACAAGAACGACACTTGGTTGCTGTTTGGTGGAAGCTCATCAGTTAGCGAAAGTTCCCCACCGACTTAAGCACAGAACATGTTGAAGACGTTGGTAAGTTTAGGGAAGTTGGATAGCTCGGGAGCCTTGTTTAGTTGTGTCTTTGTTCGTGGTGAGGGCATGTTCGCAGTCCGGGAGAAATAGTGTCTGTGTCTATAAACACCGATACCATGTTTCTTTACCGGGATTTGTGCACTTATAGGTGTCAAGTCACGCGGCCGTCACGTGTATCACATACAGTGTTGTGTAGTTGACTTGTTCAGCTGGTCGATAAGCTACGAGATGGTCGCGCTTTTCACCGTGGCAAAAAGCAGCGAACGAGGACGCGTCTAGACGGCCAGAATGAATGGACGGAATGGAAAGATGACTTGGAGATACACAGGAATCTAGAACGAATCTAGAACCAGCTCGTGTGGAAGATGGACACTCAGTACGGACGGACGGGAGCAAATGTGACAGGAGAGGTGGAGAGCTGTTTGGAAGAGAGTTGTTTATGAATGAAAGTGGCGAATCATGCTTTCCTTTTTACTAATTTTTGGTTTGAGCATGATACACAGCCGTTCCACTGAGTCAACAACTACAACTCGCGAGGAGGAAATCGAGGAATTTCAAAGGCTCTCATTCGGAAGGCAGATGAATCAGAGTTCCTTGACCAAGACTTCAAGAAATGTGGGAAGTTTGTTTTGTTTCGTTGGATTCCAGCGAAATCCTGCGTAGATCGATTTTAGCGGGATAGCTTCGGGAAAATCTTGTAACTCTGGCTAAATGAAATCCCAGTTATTCAAAATGAGAAGGACCTAGACCACCAGGCAGCGAAGGTTAAAAATTTTCAAGACGTCTAGGTCGTCTGTCGATTGTTTAACATTTACATAAGCGTAAAAGCAAACACGTGAAGACTTACATACAAAGAGTTCGGCCATTCCACAGCTTTGTTCAAGAGTAAGCTCTTGGATACCTTGGGTAGAAGAGAAAACCATCGTGACTAAGATGAATTATAGATTAACGAAGTTGGGCATCTCATGTTGGTAAAACGTTTACTGCAAGGCTCTGGGATTGGAAATTCAGCTTCAGCATCGAAGATACCGAGCCCGCCCTTAAACCACTGTTTTGTACAGCAACGGATGGATGTATCCTGTCATCGAGGAACAGGAAGCGGAGGCACACGGTGTTCCATTCACAGCGAAATACGAATGTCCGCAAGCGCGCCAGTCTGCCACCACCACCACATAGTGGGGATAAAATTCACAACTGCCGAAGAAGGCTAATTCAAAATCTTTTCCCAGGGTTGGCTGAAACAGCCCGGTGAGAGAAGCTCAGATCTAAAGGCAAACTTCCTACAGACAATGGATAGCAGCCGGGACCATCGGTGGCTTGAAGGCTTCGTTTGAACTTCACACTTCTCCGTAATACATCGACAAAGTATACTGCAATTCAGTGATTATAACATTTGACTAAGAAGTGTTGATATGGTAAGAGCCACAACGTTCACATATTTGGTCGCGAGCCACGAAAAAGGTGCATCCACATCTAAAAACTCAGATCGTTCGACAGTTGAACATGGTCGCCAGAAACTTGATCGCTGTTTTGTGAAGAGTCCAACTAGTTTCCAAATCCAGTCACACTTTTAGACCTCCTCCCTGACACCATCGGCCTGCGCCGACTCTCATACTCGTGTGATTCAGACTATAAGATGGTTGGTTTCTGGCAGAGCACCTAAACAAAACAATTCAGAATGCTGAGACGCGGCGCCTGCTTCGTTGGTCAGAATGACGAGTCAAATACTCAAAGCGAAATAGTTAAACCAAACGATCTTCCTCACGATAGATCATCATCATCATTAAAGGCAGCAACATCAGTGTTTGCGCTGATGCTTCACTGCCGTACAATCATAAGGTTCGTCTATATATATATATATAT